CTCTGCTCATTGCAACCTCCGCCTCTTGGGTTCAAGTGATTCTCCTTCCTCATCCTCGTGAGTAGCTGGGATTACAGGCACCTGCCACCACACCCAACTAATTTTTGTATTTCTGGTAGAGACGGAGTTTCACCGTGTTGGCCAGGCTGGTCTCGAACTCCTGATCCAGGAGTGATCCACCCACCTCGGCTTCCCAAAGTGCTGAGATTACAGGCGTGAGCCACTAAGCCAGCCAGTAAAATTTATTTATTTCCATTTCATATTTGAAAACAGTGAAGCTCATAAAAGTGACTTTAACAAGGTTGCTCAGTAAGTTTGAGGAGGAGCCAGCATTTGAACAAATTTATCTTTGGAAGAGTTCCTCTTTCTACCAAACTAAGCAAGAAGGCCAAATTCTTGAGCAACAATATGTCTTGGAAGTCAGGGGGTCTGAGTAACATTCTGAGTTGACTAGACCTGGAAGCAGTTGGATAAAGCTCTAGGTTCCCATCCTGATCTTTCAGTACTTGAGCCATCTTGCAACCTAGTCTCCGCTTGTCATCGGGATTTTTATTCGCCTCTTCCCACACAAATGCTCTCTTTATACAGTGAGGAGATTGAGGGAAGGAACCAGAATCTTATTCATGTTTGCTTTATCCCCAACAGCTTGCATATAAGAAGCCCTACGCAAATAACCATTTAAATGAATTGAATCAATTCATTAATTAGTGCAAAAAAACACTTCTGGAACTCCTACTTTGTGACTTGTTTCATGCGAGATCAGTAACTGAGACACAGAGGCCCCCTGCCATCGTGGAGCTTGTGGACCATATATAACGACAAACATTGAGTGACTGATAATTGCGATGAGAGCTAAGAGAAGAGCTGTTTGCTATGAAAGCTAGAAGATGAATTTTCCAGCACTTTGATTTGGAACTTCGAGCCTCAGGAACTGTCAGGGAACAGTTCAGGCCTTCCTGAAGAAGAGACATGTAATCTACAACCTAAAGTTCAAGGGGAAGAAGGCAAATAAAGAGGAAAAACCAACTCAGAGACCAGCACATGTACTAGGACAGAAAAGCATATTCCCAAAAGCACAATTTAAATCCTGTATCTTATTGAGCTACCATGGTTCAGAACCAAATCCAGTAACGATGCTGGGATTTTCAGCGGCAGTATTACAACAGATTAAAATTGTTACTTAATGTAGATAAATCATGCACTCTTTTGGGTATTTGGAATAGATCTTCAGTAAATTTTCTCAGCCTTGCTATAAAAGTAGGGAGTAGGTCTGTGGTTCTCTTTTAACTGAAACTAAACTTTTTATTTCATAGGTAGAGTTTCAACACCCTAATTGGTAACCAGTTTGGTTAAGAAAGTGGATTGTTGTGAACCCTAATGGTTGAAAACATGTTGTAAAGATTTATTCAGCCACAGCTGGTCTTTACCATGTGACTGCGCATTTTATGGTTAGTTATCATTGTACTTCCAATTGTAAATTAAGTCTTTATTCAATGGGATTTTTCAAGGAGTTGTTATAGAAAGTATCCTGTGGCCATGTGTGGTATCCCATGTTGTAGAAAATATAATAAATTATATTGCTTTATGGCAAGCACTTTATACATATCATTAAAATAAGACATTCTCATGGGCTATAATTTTATGAATTTAAAGTTTCACTTAAAACTTATGCACATATAAAAACTGCCAGAAAGATACATGTTTTCATTATACATAGATAAATATTAAGCAATTGCTGAGTAATCCCTATGGGATATTGCTACATACTGAATTGTGCACCCTTAAAACTCATGTTGAAACCCTATCCCTTGGGCCTCAGAATGTGACTGTATTTGAAAATTGGACCTTAAGCGAGGTAATTAAGATTTAATGAGGTCCTAAGTATGGGGCCCTAATCCGGTATGACTGGTGTCTTCATAAAAAAGGAAGAAGATGCAGACGCATGGAGGAAAGGCCGTGTGGGGACACAGTGAGAAGGCGGCTATCCACCAGCCAAGGAGAGAGTCCTCAGGAAAAATCAAACCTGTCAACACCTTGGTCTCAGACTTCAGCTTCCAGAATTGTGAGGCAATTGACCTCTGTTACTTAAGGCACCCAGTCTATGGTATTTTGGGAGGGCAGCCTGTTGTAAACTGTGTCCCCACAAAACTCTTATGTTGAAGCCCTAAGCCCCAGTATGACTATATTTGGAAATAGGGCCTTTTTGGAGGTAATTAAGGTTAAATGAGGTCATAAGGGTGGACCCCTAATCCAACAGGGCTTATGAGAAGAGGAAGAGACACCAGGAGTACTTGGACACAGAGGAAAGGCCATGTGAGGGCATGGGGGAAGACGGCTGGCTACAAGCTTAAAAGAGAGGCCTCACAGGCCAGGTGTGGGGCTTATGCCTATAATCCCAACACTTTGGGAAGCCAAGTGTGAGCAAATCACCTGGGGTCAGGAGTTCAGGGCCAGCCTGGCCAACATATAGTGAAACTCTACAGAAAAATACAAAAATTAGCTGGGTGTGGTGGCATGTACCTGTAGTCCCAGCTACTTGGGAAGCTGAGGCAAGAGAATCGCTTGAACCTGGGAGGCGGAGGTTTCAGTGAGCCGAGATTGCACCACTGCACTCCAGCCTGGCCAACAGAGCAAGACTTTGTCTCTCAAAAAAAAAAAGAAGAGAGGCCTCACTAGAGACCAAATTTTCCAGCACTTTGATCTTGGACGTCCAGCTTCCAGAAATGGGAGAAAATTAATTTATGTTGTTTAAGGCACCTAGCCTGTGGTATTTCATTATGGCAGCCCTAGAAAACTAACACAGATATATATTTTACAGTCATCGGGATACAACCAACTGTATGCAGGCATACATGGTCTGCTATGTGCAGTCGAATTATCTAGATTCCTAGGTGAGAACAGTGGAGAGACTTTTATTATGTCTTTGCATATTAGAATTTTTGTTAGATTAAAAATGAGAATGCATAATTTATATTCATGCAGCCAGACTGTATCTGGATATTAATTACAATAAAAACAGAATTGTTTTTATGAAGTGGGGTCAATGCATGGGTACCCTCACATTTTAAAAAATGTTTTGAACATGTTCACAACTTGATTATTTCAGCTTTCAAGGGGAATGTATGTAAGAGCCTGCACTTAGCCTACCTATAATCACCAAAGAAGAATATTAAACCCTGACTCCACTGTTTCAAATTAAGCTTTTCTCATGCAGCTGTTATATTCCTGTCACTTATCAAGTTACCTTAAGAAGCATTTTGTGAGTTTAATTAAGCCTGACTAATTCTCCAACAGTACAAAGAAAGATGAATTCCTTAAATATTTAATCCATCTACGACTCAAGTGTCATTTTCTGAATGTAGCTGCTAAATTCTTGGAATTAATTACCCTTTGAATTAAAGCTGCTTTTTCAGATGTTCAAGATGTATAGTCATAGTCACAGCTCACACAATGTGTAAATTCAACATTGCATCTCTTCACCAGGAGAATTTATTCCAAAGGCTGCATTCCAAACCTCAACCTGTCCGGCTTATTTATGACCCCGGGACTAAGAAATCTTTCACTCTAAACTTGTTAACAATCAAGCCTGTCTTTATCATAATTTCCATTCTTGGTCTTTCCTCTCCTTCCTCCTGCACCCATGTAAGAATGAGTTAAAGGTTAGCTGCCCTCTATCTGCAAAATCACTATTCCTTTTCACTGAAATTTTGTTTTCCTTGAATCACCCCAAGATTCACCTCCTTTAGAAAAGAAATGGGCTTTTCTCTATTACAATCAGCAGGTAGCACTGTCATCAGCCCTTCCCTCTGCTCGTATTTTTCTGAAACACTACATGAATCCATGACTTTATTTATTTATTTATTTAGAGACAGAGTCTCGCTCTATCACCCAGGCTGGAGTGCAGTGGTACAATCTTGGTTCACTGCAACTTCCGCCTCCCGGGTTCAAATGATTCTCCTGCCTTTGCATCCCAAGTAGCTGGTCCTACTGGCACTTGCCACCACACCCAGCTAATTTTTGTATTTTTAGTATAGACAGAGTTTCACCATGTTGGCCAGTCTGGTCTCGAACTCCTAACCTCAGGTGATCTGCTCGTTTTGGCCTCATGACTTTAATTACACATTTTCTACTTGTTCTCTTCCACTACACTGAAGGCTATCCAAGACTAGAAGCAATGTTCCTCAAGATGAGACTCCCAAGAATACAACGAGCTCAATTAGGCAACCACACTGATGGGGCTCCTAATATTCCCAGAACTGGGAGTCAGTTTCCAGATTCCTGTATGAGAAAACTGGAAGATGGGATACATGAGAAGACAGAAACACACACACACACACACACACACACACACACACACACACACACACACAGCCACAAAGGCCACAAAGACACAAGCCCACAGGACCAAATCCTGAGTGATTTGGCACTTATTAGTGTAGTGCTCAGTAGTCAACAATGCCAGCACCATGCTAGACACTGAGGTTAAGAAAGTGGCTGGTTGACTCAAGTTCTAAAGAGAAAGGTGTCTTTTGATTGAAATTCACATTCCTTAAGGAATGATAAGAGATTGAAAGGCTATAAATTAGCTACTTAGCTTTCACATGTACAAGTCTCAATTTAGGGAAAGTTTATCCTCAGATATCATTTTCTAGCACTTGCAATATAAACAGTAACTGAAAAATTTTTCTAGAATAATTCACTAAGCACTCTTCCTTTTCTTCCAACACTGCCTCCCACACATCTTGATTTAAAATATAATTATTTACATTGAAAATCTAAAACACAAAATGGCATGTTAGAATTTCCAGTGCCAGATACTTTCACCATATTGAAATAAAGTGGAGTATGAAAATACTTTTGTTGCAAAGAAAAATAAGAATAGAAAAAAATCAATTAAAAGAAAAAATGCAAAATTCCTATGGTGTTATTCGGATGGGAAGAGCCAGCACCTGGTGGTGGCCAGGGCAGTCCCCAAGGGCCCCTGGGAGAGATGTACCTACCACCTTTCATCATTCCCACTTCGTAGCATTTTCGGAGCCGGCAGGCCTGGCAGCTCTTCCTCCGGTTTTTATCAATGGTGCACTGGTTGGTAGCTGGACACATGTAGTCGTTATGTCCTATTAAAAGCAAGAGGACAGAATTAATATTATTTCAGGAAACAGCCAATCAGAATCTACAGTGAAATCTTTTACGGGATATTTTCCTATCACTTCCTCAGCTTTACTATGTTGCCACTCAGCCTGCCTGCCTTTTTCTGTCCTCCTTGAAGTGCAAACAAAACCTCTCATGGACTCAACTTCTATAGCAGACAATTGCATCAGGAGTCCACTGGGCAAGTTGCCTTCAGTTCATCCAGCCTGTATTTTGTAGCATGATATTTTATATGGTTATGTTTTCTCAGCAGATAAGGCTTTTTGCTTTTTGATTTGTTTTGTTTTACCAAGGCTGCTTGCCAAAATCGTTGTCAGGGTAGACCTGTTAAAAATAGAGTTTTCAGAGAGAGAGTTTCAAAGTAGCCCTTCTTAAAATATAATTTAACTAAGTAGGTACTCAAATGCATCACAGGATATCTAAATTCAAGCCAGCTTGGTGGGCTGGGTGGTGACAAAGTTCAGTCCTTTAGGTCGTAAGTTCATCCCTCACTGACTGGCTGGAGCACTCTGAGCAAGCTACCTAACATTTCTAGGTCTCACTTTCCTCCTCTCTAACCTAGAAAATAATGGAACCCATCACATACAGTTATTCTAAGAATTAAAGGTGAGAACATAGGTCAAGAGTTTATACCATAGTTCCCTGAGTACGGAAAACACTCAAAAGATGTTAGTTGTTGTTACTCTTATTTTATGAATAACCCTCTTTCTTTTTTCTCTTGTTGATTCTCTCTCCCTCAAATGCTCCTTACTCATTGGCTTTGATCACAATCAACACTGTCCCATAAAATAGTCTCCCTTACCCCCCACACTCTCTAACTTCGATCTTCTATCTTATCCCTCCTTCCCAGCTGAACTCAGAAATGTTTGCACATGAAGTCTCCTTTTCTTTACCTCTCCTGCATGGCTCAGCCCACACCAATGTTTTCCACCTTAGTTGCCCCAAAAAAAGCAGCTTCCTAGGATCACCAATGACTACTGTTGCCAAATTTTAGATATTTTTTGTCCACATCCTACATAACCTATCTGAAGCAGCCTACGATGTTGATTCTTCCCTTCCCCCTTGAAATAGGCTTTTCCCTTGGCGTCCATAATCCCAAACACCCCAGTCCCTTCTGCCTCTCAGGCTGTAGCCTGCCAGTATTGTTTGCAGATTCAATTTCTTCCATCCACCATTAAGCCAGAGCCGCTCAGGGCTCAATCTTAGGTCTTCAACTTCTCTTACTACTCCACATTCTCCCACAAGAGAACCTAATGGACGCCCATGGCTTCCATCTTCACCAAATGCAGATCACTCAGAATGTATGCTCCCAATCCAACTGTCTCCTCAGAGCTCCTGGTACATATGTCCAGCTGCCCACAGGAAGCTTCTGCTCTAAGATTTAGAAGTCACCTCCATCCCTTTATCCCTCAAAAGGAATCTGGTTTATAGGAAGCAGAATATTAAAATTCACAAATTAATACATATTGGCATGTTTTTATAAAGTCTGTTTGCATAAATCTAAATTCTTACATGTCTTGGAGAAATGTCCTGAATTTAGACTAAGGAAATTATATATATTATTGTAAAACATGTTTCTCATTCTCCCACTCCAAAATTGAATATATATTCCACACTTTAATTCAGATTCTCTGCTTAAGTCTCTATTTTTTTCGTTTACTAAGGGCAAGATGCAACATGTAGTGAAATGTTTTAACTACAGAACTCTTTGTTGTTTATTCAACTGAAGGGTCAGGCCCAATTAGAAGAGGGTGGAGTGAGGACTTGACAAGAAAGGCTAGTCTCATAAAACTTGGTTTTCCATCTTTAAATATACATTATAAAAGTCACTGTACAAATGGGCTTCAGATCAAATTAACGTTTGCACTCTTCTATTGCATAACAGAAACCAGAAAACTAGTCAGCAGAGTTATGAACCTGTAACTTCAGTAAAAGACCACACACTGACTCAGATATCCAGACATAGTTATTATTTTTATAATTGTCCTTATTAATAGGGTCAAACTGAGGAAGTAATAGAACCAGAAACAAAACTTATCTGTGCAGATGCTAAGTGCAAGCAAAAAGTATATTCTTCTGATACCTTAAAGAAACTTTCAGTGTTTAGTCTCCTGTGATATTTATGTAGTATATGCTGATATGTTTTAGCTTAAAAAAAAATGATTATATGGCCAGGTGTGGCAGCTTACGCCTATAAACCCAGCACTTTGGGAAGCTAAGTAAGGTAGGAGGATAGCTTGAGATCAGGAGTTTGAGACAAGCTGGGGCAACATAACAATATCTTGTTTCTACAAAAAAAAAAAAAAATATATATATATATATATATATTAGCCTGGCATGATGGCACATGCCTGTAGTCCTAGCTACTCAGGAGACAGAAGAATCGCTATGAGCCCAGGAGGTCAAGGCTGCAGTGAGCTATGATCACACCACTGCACTCCAACCTGGACAACAGAACAAGACTCTATCTCTAAAAAAATAAATAAATAAAAAATAAATAAATAAATTAGTATACATTAAGTTTCGGAAGAAAATAGTCAATAACCATTCAAACCAAATATTACTTTGCCTCACTTTCTCTCCAGAGCCAGTTACTTTGTAAGCCAGAAGAAGATGGGAGAACTGAATTGGGTCAGAGGCCAGTTGGCTGAGACTCATGTTTGGATTGGCCATCCACTGTAGATGTGTATCAGAATGGAATTCACAAGGGAATTCATCTCAACAAAAATGGAAATTAACATACAACAGAATCATGTACATACTGCAAACCTTTTGTGACAAAGCTAGAATTGATAAACTGGCAAAAAGAAAAATTTAATAAATACATATTTGATATATGCAATGAAAACAAATTATTCTTAACCAAGCACCATTAACAACTATTTGTAAGTCTTCAGCTCACATCAGAAGAAGAAAAACAGCAAAGTAGGGTTTTTTTTCCTTAACAAGTATAACTTGGTCAATATGTGTTATTAAAGCAATTGATTTAAGTTGCATTAAGAAGAAGTTCTTTTTAAATTTTATTATTTGGTCTTATCAAAATAACGCATGAGAAAATCTTATTGAAGTAGAGTCGATTTTCTAAAAAAACAACTCACAGCAGTTGTCTTAGTGAAACATAGCAGTGTGGGTTTTTTAACTGAAGAGACAGTACTGTATGTATGTGATCAGATTGGCCCCAAAAGTCCTTCTGTGCAGGCTGGGATGAACCCAGCCCAAAGGGCCAAAGCCACAATGTGACATTCAGGTGAAGGTTCGGAAAAATAATCAGCACTATTTTCTTGCCCGCCAAAAAAATAAAAATAAAAAGCCTCTGGAGGAATCTAGGGCTTGGCCGGTAGGAAGTGGAGGGGACAGAAGGTGAATGAGATGGAACCAGAAAGAAGGAAGTGGGGAGAGAAGACGCCTGTGAGTAGGAATTGCCAGGCCCACCCCAGCTCCTGCAGCAACAGAACGACCTACTTTCAGCTTTTCTCCAAGCTTCCGTTTTCTTCATTTTCCTTCTGTTCTTATTTTCCCTCCATTGATAGAAGCTGGTTTGGCTTTGTTGTCATTACACAGAAAGTCTACATTTGTTAGTTATGAAAATAAATAATGACGGGGCCAGGCGCAGTGGCTCATGCCTGTAATCCCAGCACTTTGGGAGGCCAAGACAGGTGAATCACAAGGTCAGGAGTTCGAGACCAACCTGACCAACATGGTGAAACCCTGTCTCTACTAAAAACACAAACATTAGCTGGGCGTGGTGGCAAGCTCCTGTAATCCTAGCTACTCAGGAAGCTGAGGCAGGAGAATCTCTTGAACCCAAGAGGCAGAGGTGGTAGTGAGCCAAGATTGCCCCATTGCACTCCAGCCTGGGTGACACAGCAAGACTCCATCTCTAAATAAATAAATAAATAAACAAATACCCATACCTATGCAGAGATTCAAAAGGAATATAAAGACAAGCCAAGCAGTCACCTTAGAGAAAGCCAATATGATATTGCAGGTCTCTCTTTTTGTCCCTCTGTTCCCTCAGTATTTTCTCGCGGTCACCTCAGACCAAATCTTCCTGAGCTTCTGACCTGTATGTCCACCTGCCCCCATCCATCAAGACTTGACTCTCTCACACTCGTCAAGATGGATGTGCCCCAGATAGTTCTGACGACTATCTTCTTTCCTCACCAGTGTGTTCCTATTCACTTACCAGCTGAACCAAGAAATGTCTGCACCTGAAGCCTGAAACACGGGCTTGATCATGGATTTGAGCTTCTTCCTCATTCAACCCTCCCTCCCCATCCCTGACACAGCCACGCAGATCAAAACAAATATTTTCTCATTATTTTTTAAAGCAAAACCATTTCTGCCTTGAGCACTACCATAGTCTCTACCTTCTCTAGCCCAGATCATTACAGCCAGATCATTACAGCCCACCACATGACCCTCTGCCTCCAGCCTTCCCCTACCAATCATTCCCCACCATGTCATCACAGTAATTTTTCTAAAATCATATGCCATCATGTCAATATCCTGCTTCAATAGCTTGAGTCTCCTCCAAGCTCTAAAAGTGAAATCTAAATGCAATGCCTTCGCACAGTTTGCAAAGCTCTTAACACTCTTCCTTGCCTTCCCTCCCCGCTCTAATTCACACCCAAGTTCCAGCCATGTCTTTCTGTTGACACACGCCATGCTTATCACCCCCAGGACTTTGCACATACTCTTCTTCCTGGTGGAAACACACTTTTCCTTCTCTTGGTCCGACTGACTCCTACTCATCTTTCAAGTGTGCCAGTCAAGACATCAATTCCTCTGTACCATCTTGGCTGCCCTTCCAGCCATGCTTAGTTTGTGTCTTATCATAGCACTTACTATGTTGGGCTTTAACTGCTTGTCTCAATACCCAGATCGGCTTAGGCCTGGCAAGGGGTGGACCATTTCTGTCTCATTTATCGCTGTTGATTCTGAGCCCAGCACATTCTCACACACA